ATTCTCAGGAAAAGCCCACGATAAAGGAGGATGATGATGAGACGATTGACCCCGACCTCCGTGAGCTCGGGGCATCTTGGGTGCATGAGTGTGCGCGTGTGTCAAGAAATTTTACGTGGGACCTCATTGCAATTCTTCGCGCGATAGTTTCTTTGAATCTCCCCAATGTGTTGATTGCATGCACTGCAGCCAGGACTATTTCAACATAGAGGAGCGCTGGGTAGTCCGTCTGAACGAGGCCCCTGGCAGAATCTGCCCGAGCTGGCACCCGCAGCTTTGCACGCCAGCTGCGTGAGGCCATGAAGAAGCGGCAGGACACGAAAGCCCAGGACATCGAGAAGCTTTATGAGGTCTTAGAACCTGTGGCCGCAACAAGACTTGCTGCAATGCCATTCTTCATCTTGTGGGCGTTTTTACTGTAGCCTGCAGTTTTCAGGAGAAGGCTCGGAGTCCGACCGGGCTGTTGACCGTGCAGATTGGCAAGATGGAGTGTGGGCAGTTTGTTGGCAAGATCAAGCCAGACAAGGACGTGGAGCGGATGGCAAGAGACTCGACACGCATGAAGGGCTTGCTCCGTTGCCACTGCGGGCCTATCCTGCAAGAGCATATCCATGATGAGCGCCCAAGCCCGGCTGTGCAAGTTCCGTTGAACGTGCCTACATGCGCGTGCACTGTCGCAAAGATCTCAGTCTAAGACGGAGTCGTTCTTCTTATCACACTTGAGCTGTTGCTGCAGCCCACAGCCAAGGAAAGTTCAAGCTTGACGACCACGTGACCTCGCGTGTAACGGAGCTCAAGGCATGTCCTGCGCACAGCACGTTGCGTGAGTCTCTGCTGCCAATTTGCTGCTTTCCTCAACCTCACTGAAGTACAAGAAGTTTGCACATCCAGGTGGTGGCAGTGCTCACAGCCAGGGGGTTGCACATGACTGCCCCGCAACATGTGCAGGTGTGGAGAAAGCGCAATGGCGAGGAAGATCGCGCCATGAAGGACCTGTTTGCTTCCCTCTTGACATGTGGTGCACCGGACCTCCTCAGTTCTTTGCAATAGCCATCTGCACTAGAAGGACTTGGAGCGGATAGAGTACCACTTGCGCTTCGCCAAGAGGCCCAATGCGCTGTGCACGCTCCTGGTGCCCGGCTTTAAATCAGAAGGGGACACCAACATTTCACGTTTGGACAAGCGCGGGCCTGGAACTTAGGT